TCTTCAATATTTACCCAAATTAAATTGGTCAATGGGTTGATGAAACATGTAGATTTTTTTTTTAAATAAAATAAAATAGATTATGGAAACATGTAAATCACCTGATCACAGGCGGATTTAGGGGTGGGGTGTTGATCCAAACCTTTTTTTTCGTATTTTGAAATAGAAGTATCAGCGGAGGACTAAGAAATTAATCTCATTTCTACATTTATAAAAGTGACAATGATATTATTAAAATTTATTTGAACATGAATAGCGAATATTCAGGAGGTCTGAATCGGCCATAAAATCCCAAGTAATAAGTGGAAATCATTAGACGTCCGCTCTCAAGTTGGGCAGTCCGATTGGAGAAGGGCAAATTACACCTTTCTATATATAAATTTTTTTGGACTTGTTTTTGTACAACAAACGGGCTGGATTTTAAAACCCAATATGTTACTATTTCAGTCCAGGCCCTTTTGGACGGCTCTTTGGGATTTCCCCTTTTTACAAAGTCACATCTAGCTAGTCGTCTAGTTTAAAACATAGCAAACTCATTAGGCATTAACCAGTAAAGCTTTACTAAGAAATAGTATTTCATTTGTGGTTTTAACTTCCAAAAACATACAATTATTAGACGTAATATTAGATCGAAAAATTGATGTAGAGTCTGTTTTAATATGCGATATGAAATCATGATTTGAAGTTAAAATTTTGTTTGGACGTATAATATAAAATTGTTAAGTTGTGTTATTTTCTCATAAAGATAATAGCGTATTAACTTTTTCTTGGATTACATAATTAGCTAGGTTAAAGATGTGTGTTGTGTCAATTAGTCGAGTGCAGGGGTGACTCGATAGTGTTAAAAAAAAGACATGTGCTTTAGGATTCCAAATTTAAGGGCCTCATTTTTAATAATAATAGATTATAAGTTATTATTTTTTTTGGTAGAAAAAGTTAAGATTTCATAAAAAATGAAGAAAATATTAGAAAAAATTTAATATATTTGAAGTACTTTATCTCATGAAAAATAATTTAAAATAGAAATAATTATATTATTGATTAAAAACTAGGAGAAATTAACAATATAAATTTAAAACTTCAATTAATTTTCGCTTTGGACCACTAATATGTTTGAGCCGCACCTGACCGAGTTTCTCCTATGTAATTAGATGTAACATTTGTAATAGGCAACAAAATATAGTGATGCATGCAGTAATCTTCTTGGGTCGACAATGGTTCCTTTGAAGTTGTAACGTCTTTGACATCACCATAAATAATAGTCCGTCATCAGAGATGTTTGATTTAAGCTCTAAATACAAAAAAAAATATACTTTATAATTTATTAATATGATAATTTCTCATGTCAATTCGAATATAATATAGCTTTAATGCAAATATGGAATTATGGGTGTCAAATTTCAAAATAATCCAATGATATTTAATCCAATATTAATAAATTATAAACCAGACTAATATTTCTTTTAATTTTACTTGTTTTTTTCAATATTTTTTAAAACGAGCAACTTTCATCTATAGCAAATATAAAAATTATATTTATATGTTATAATTTTTCAAATTAGTATATATAATTGCGCTCCGTAACGTAGCATCAGATTGTATAATTCACTGGCAATGTTTCAGATTTGTATAATTTCGCTGACAGGTCACTTGTACAAATCGTTGGCTGTCTCTCGTTTGTATAAATCGCTGACACCCTCTCAATTTCAATCATATGTGTTTATATGTCTGCATAAAATTTGAACTTATATACAATTGAATCGAAATAAAACATTTGTATATCAAATCGCTCTCTTGCTTTACACGTTGATATGTACTTGTATAAAGCGAGAAAGAGAGAAAGACAAAAGAGAATTGCAAGGAAAGATTGAATTTGTATAATTATAAGTATATAAAACGAAAATATATGTATTTATATTTGTGCGTAAATTTTCTCTCGCTTTATACAAACACGAATGCGTTTTATACATTTGTATTTGTATAAAAGCGAGAGAGGTGAGAGAGAGACTGGCAAGAGTTGCGATCGAGAAACCTAGTGAGGGAGGCGAATAACAACAATTTATTACGGATTACAATTAAATCAAATTTGTGATTATAACATTTTGTTTAAATTAATAATTTGCTATTATATTCAATTTTTCTCTTTTAAAAACAACAGTCTTAACAACACACAATCTTTTCAATTGTGTACTACTCCTTCCGTTCTTCTTTACTCTTTTGATTCAAGGTTGTCTCGTAAAAATAATATGAATCGATATTATTATTTTATTATGTTATCATATAAAATTGATGTATAATAAATATTTTTTTTTATTTCATTGTACGTGTCACTTTTATATTGTACACTTGCATTAAGAAATAATGTGACTTTATCCTTTTATCTTTATTTACATTTTTGAAGCTCAAATTTTTTATCAATTAATACAAATTATTTTATTTTAACTAATTAACATAATCAATAAACATGAATCATCATTTACTTAGCTTTTCTAATTAATTATATGTACATTTTTAAGACTAATAACTAACAAAAAAAGAAAAAAGATAAAAAGAAAAAAATATAATTAATTTTATAAAAAAATATAACATATAAAATAAAAATATCATCATTCCAACCAGGGTGCATGAAGCCTTGAAGAAATTTGTGGAGGGTCCAACATTTATTTTCTTTCAATCAAATAATAATAAAAGGCCAAACACTCGTATGAAGCCACGTTAAGATTCGGTGCTACTAAATAGTCATGAATCTAAGATTCCTAAAGGCCGGCGGCACAAACGTCGATGTATAAATCACCAACTTCCCAAGGAAGATTTTTAGTAACGTGACTTTGCACAAATCAATAACTTAGCCCTGCAGAAAAACTACCCCTTTCCGTTTTATTTAAATCCCTTTTTGATATATATATAAAAAAAAATTTATAGAAAAAAGTAAAAGTCCAGCCGAAATATGGAGAGTTGGTGATGGTGATGCAGCGTTCGTTTAGTTTAATTTAGTTAAAGGTCTCACATTTCAAGGTATCTGTTAGAGTTCCAACGTAAGGCTGTCACCAACCCATAACTCAACGGAACTTGGTCACCAAAACTACTACTATTCATTCATTTTTCTTCAACAATGTACGATCCATTAAATAATATTCTTTCTCACTTCGTTTAATTATAATTATAAGTTAGTTATAATTTATTTTTAAATTAAAGTTACGCTAGTTCTCATATTTTTTTATTTCAAAAAACATGTATTACAATTTAGTAGTGTTAGAAATTTTCTAAAATTAAATATAGATATTTTAGAAAAAAATTATTATTCTTTCTTAATTTGTTAAAACAGACAAATAAATAAAAAATAAAAACAGAAAGTAATAAAATATTCTCTATCATATTTGTTTTTGCTCTCAAGGTCGATGAATCTTCAGATTATAGATGGGTTTTTTTTGGTAGTTTAATGGTGGTTGCACAATTTATTAGTATATATATATATATATATATATCATTTATGAAATCTATCTATGGTATAGTATTTCTTTTACTTCAACTTATGCTAAAGAAATCGCAGTACAAAAATTAAAGTTTAATTTTTTTTGTGATATTTAAGTTTGATTTTTCAAAATAAGGTATAACTACATGTTGAAAATTACATAAGCAATAGTTTTGTAAACAAATACTACTATACTCAACATAATTAAGAAAAACAATTGATAATATTAAATGAAAACCTTGAAACCATCATATGTACTCCTAGATTTAAACACAACTATACAAGACTAACGGAGACAATACTATATAATAAGGAATCTCTGCTGTGTAATAATTTTGATATGTAAATAAATTTTTACTTTTTATTATAAATCTTTTATTTATGTTTTACATATTTTGATTAATTAGTTATTGTGATTTATAATATTTTACGTAATTTATAAATATATAAATTTCATTTAATTTTTTTTAAAGATTTTATGAGCAATTTTCTAACCAAACTTAAATGATTTGAGTCTTAAAAATGAAAAACATCACATAAAATTGAGATAAAGAGAATACTATTTATTTTTGAATGCAGGTATATATTGATTATAATTTATACACATACTCCCTCGGTTTGAAAATAAGACAATTGTTAAGTTTTTTTATACTTCAAAAACCATTGAATAGTTCAAAAATCAAAGAGTTATTGGAATGTCTTCCATTTATGTCCATCATTTACGTCTTCTAGGTGATAATTTCAAAAGAACTAATTGCCCATATTATAATTTTACTCGAAATTACTTATATTTTAAAGAAAAGTTTAAGCATATTTAAAAGGACAAAAGTGAATAATAGTGTTTATTTATCTCCTAATTTTTCTGGCTCAACAATTTAATTATTTTAAAATGGTGAAAGTATAATTTAAGCAATTAGGTAATTATTTTTGCAAACTTAATATTTTTTTCATTCGCAATTGTTTGTCAGGTTTCTATTTTAGAGTCAAACTATATAAATTTTAACTAACATTTTAAGATATTTTTCCATTATATTAATATGTAAAAAGGTATAATTTATAGTACTTTTCCTATAATTTTTATCAAATTAACATAAAAAAATTTAACTTTAAAAATTAATTAAATTACTTTTCGAAAAGAGTAACCTATCTAATAAAAATTCAGGAATGAAGTATTTTCATATCCTTTAACTCCTAACTCCCAAGTTAGTCGGTTTGTTCAACCGGTCTAACTCTTACATATGCAAAGACTAAACTTTTATTTACAACATGAATTTTGATTATGATTTTTTTTCAAAAAAAATAAATTTGGATGTCATTTGATGAGTTAGGTGAATTGGCGGTTTGGTCTTACAAAATCTCAGTTGCCTTTCCCACAACCCATGAGATGAGACTTTGCTCCCCATTCCTGTCCCAATGTAAACACCACATTAAATTCTTTTACTTTTTTTTTTTTATCCCAAAAAAAATAAATAAAAAAAACTAGTAATAATATCCATATCTTCCATCTATATAAACCCAAGTGGGTTTCCCTTATCCCTTAAGCCTCATTTCATTCTACTGCACTAAACTTCTCCCTACTACAAGTGTTAAAGTTTTGTTTTGCACTTTGTCAGCCATGGCTAAAACCTTAATAACTACTCTTCTCTTAGCCCTGTTTTCGTCTTTATCCTATGCAATTGACATGTCCATCATAGATCACAAAAATAAAGAGGGTATTTTATACGAAAAGTGGCTGGCAGAGCATGGAAAAATATATAATGCCTTGGGTGAGAAGGAAAAAAGATTCGAGATTTTTAAAGATAATTTGAGGTTCATCGAGGAATATAATGCCTCCGAAAATCGCACGTTTAAAGTTGGATTGAACCAATTTGCTGATCTCACGAACGACGAGTACCGGGCTGTGTATTTGGGCACGAAAAGTGACGCTAGGCGTCGCCTTGTCAAGTCCAAAAACACAAGCCAGCGTTATGCTTCGCCGCCCAATGAGTTGCTCCCTCATTCCGTTGATTGGAGGAAGAAAGGCGCTGTTGCTCCTATCAAAAATCAAGGGAGCTGTGGTATTTTTTTCTATTTGTGCGATTATAAATCATTTCATTAGAAATAAAATGAAGAATTTGAATGGCATGTTTGGCCCACTGGACTTTTTACATGACAACGTTTTCCTATTTGGGCTTTTACAGGAAGTTGCTGGGCTTTTTCAACAGTGGCAGCAGTAGAAGGCATAAACCAAATCGTAACAGGGGAGATGATCACACTATCCGAGCAAGAACTTGTAGATTGTGACAGATCTCAAAACGGTGGTTGTAATGGTGGCCTAATGGACTATGCCTTCGAGTTCATCATCTCCAATGGTGGCATGGACACTGAAAATCACTATCCTTATCGCGGCGTTGATGGTAGATGCGATCCTATTCGGGTTAGTCCATACTAAATTTTATATTGACTACTCAGTGAACAATTCTAATTGATCAAAGTTGTAATGAATGTTACAGAAAAATTCAAAAGTTGTTAGTATTGATGATTATGAAGACGTGCCTAGAAATGAAAAAGCACTTCAAAAAGCTGTAGCTCATCAACCTGTTAGCGTAGCCATCGAAGCTTCTGGGAAGGCTTTCCAACTCTACACCTCGGTAATTCAAAACTCAAAACTTTTCGTATTGAATAGTACGTACAATTCATTCTGAACTTACTGACTTTAAATTTTTATTTTTTTAATCAGGGCGTGTTTACGGGGGATTGTGGAGAGAAAGTAGACCATGGTGTTGTGGTGGTTGGGTACGGAAGTGAAGATGGAAATGACTATTGGTTAGTGAGGAACTCATGGGGCACAAAGTGGGGAGAAAGTGGTTATGTTAAAATGGAGCGTAATGTGAAGAATGGTCATTTGGGCAAGTGTGGAATTATGACGGAGGCTTCATATCCTATTAAGGAGGCTATAAATAAACGTATTATTACTACTTCAAATTCAAATGAAGAAATGATTAGCAGTATCTGAAGAAAATTTTATCTCTATCAGTTGCATTGCGTTATTTCATGGATTTATGTGTTATTTTAGGACAGGCTTGTTTTAGTTGGATCATTAAATTAATATTTTGTAAATAGTTGGGTTGGGTATTTTTATTGTTGCAATGCATTTGTCTCTGTTTGTGTTTTGATTAATGAAAAGTACTATTTATCTTTGATTTTGTGTGCTGATAAAAGAGAGATTTGTCAAGTCATTTTCTTGATCTAGCATGTTATCAAATAATGTTTTTATGTCTTCTCTTTTATGCATATAATATTATCCTTTTCTTTTTTTATAGATTAAATATAAAAATAGATTTTAACCTTGTCTCAATTTTTTGTATTTTGACATTTAAATTAAGGCTCGTTTTAACACTTTGGTATCATTTAAATTGTGTATGTTTAATCTTTTGACTAATCAACTGAAAAGATATTCAACGTGAATATATATGCTTTTTTGAAAAAATATTTTTCTCTTTTTTATTTTGAATCATATTTATTCGTTATCAATTAATGTTAATTTATCATCAGTCACTCTTAAAATCACCGTTTGTTCATTTACTCATTGATTACATTAATTTTTCTTTATCAAAACTATAAGAAATTACTAGCAATTATACTACGACCATTTTGGAAATATTATGAGTTGTGTAAATATAATATTCAAATATAAAGACCAATTGTTGCTCATTCAAGTGGCAGATTTAGACTTTTAAATTTGTGGGTGTTCTCTTAACTTAATAAAAACAATGTGTTGAGATTTAATAGCGAAATTTGGATGTGTTTAGATCACTAAAACAATTTTAAGCATTCATCGTGAGTTATTGAACCAGCTAAATAATTTATTTATTGGAGGCTCCTTATTAATTTTATATAAATATTTTTTAATTTCTATCGTATGATACAAAATTAATAGTTGTTGAGTACATCAAAGTGCATACGTGGGTCCATCCCTATACAGAAAGCGTTTGAATATGGGTATGAAATTTGGGATCTGAAATTGCTTTTATATCAAAATTGAGTTATAAGTTTATATTTTTATATAAGACGATCATTTATTTTAAATTCTACAAAACAAATGCTGCTTAGAGTAAATAAACTGTTTATACTATGCGAAAAAATTATATTATCCTCTCCATTTCATAATAACTCAAGTTTTGAAGTGTTTCACATCCATTGAGAAAAGTAATTTAGGATATAAATTAAACATGATTTTTTATTTTTGATTAATTATTGTAAAAAAATAACTAAACATTACTTATAATAACTAATTTCAATACTAACTTAAAGGGTAAAATTGATTTTTTTAAAAAAATAATCTTGAAAATTAAAAACTTAAATTAATTTGAAAAATAAAAAAAGCTCAAAACTTAATTTATTATGGAACGAGGGAGTAAAGAATAAACGATTACACTTATTGTTGATTAGTGATACTTTCTAAAATTATGATCTTTGAAAGTTTACAATCATAAATATTACGTTTACTATATTTCATTATGAAATTTATATAAAATAAAAATTTATTTCAAAGTTAAAAATAATCATGAATATAAATTAAAGTTTGCTTTATTTTTTTAATTAGGAACTCCCCATTTTTCGCTATTATCGTGAATTTAAAAGAAAGGACAAATATGGTCCTAATAACTCTCTCAGATTAACTTTTTAAAGTTGACTATTATAATTTTATAGCTAAATGTATCTCGGTACTTTCATAAATATGCGATACATACAATAGAATATTTCAATTAATGAACAATAATTTATTTATTCATAAGATTATATAATTTCTTAAAAAAATTATTTACGTGGGTCACTTTATAACTTTTTGTATTATAAATTAGAGTACTAGGAGAGAAAAAAAACACTTCCGCTTAATTCTTTTTTTTTTTCCAGTAAAACGTGAGGTGCTCTCCGTTTCTTTTCATTCTTCAGTGGTATCAAGTAGAGGTTTAAGGTTATCAAGAATTCTAATGAGAAGAGTCATACGACGGTCCTAAATTGTTAAAGAATTGTGAAAAATTATCAACAAATCAAGTCGGAATTTGATTTCAAATAGGTAATTTCTCTACCTACACTCGACTATAATTACATAATACGTATTTGGGATGTAGTGTAAAGTGGAAATCACTGTTTAAGTTGAATTTTGCATTAGTTCTTGAAGTGGGTTTGATGAATCAGGTTCTTGAAAGAGGTAAAGATGAATGGCAAATTGTTAAGAGAAGTATTCGTTTTCATTCAAGAATAGTAAAAATTCATCAAGAACTCAAGTACACTTGACACATTGACAGAACACGTATTTGGGATGTATTGTGAAGTTGAATTGAATTTTTGAGTTAGTTCTAGTTTGATGAATTAGGTTTCTTGAAAAAGGAAACAGATGAATAGTAAATTGTTAGGAATGTTTCAATTTTTTTTTCAAGAATGGTGAAAATTCATCAAGAACTCAAGGTTGGCATTTGATTTCAAATAGGTGATTTCTCTACATATACTGTAATATAATTATAGAAGACTTATTTCGGATGTATTACGAAGTAGAAATCACTATTTGGTTTGAATTTTTGTGTTAGTTCTTGGAATGGGTTTGATGAATTAGGGTTCTTGTAAGAGGTAACAGATGAATAGAAAATTGTTAGAAAAATTCCAGTTCTCATTCAAGAATGGTAAGAATTCGTCAAGAACTCAAGTTTGGGATTTGATTTCAAATAGGTAATTTCTCTACATACTGTAATATAATTAGAAGACTTATTTGGCATGTATTACAAAGTAGAAACCACTATTTGATTTGATTTTTTGTGTTAGTTCTTGGAATGGGTTTGATGAATTAGGGTTCTTGAGAGAGGAAACAGATGAATAGTACTAAATTGTTAGAGAAGTACTATTTTTCATTCAAGAACTGTGAGAATTCATCAAAAACTCAAGTTGGAATTTGATTTCAATAGGTAATTTCTCTACATATAATGTAATATAATTATAGAAGACGTATTTGGGATGTATTGGTGAAGTGGAAATCAGTATTTTGATTTGAATTTTTCATTACTCTTGAAATAAATTGGGTGTCTTGAAAGAGGAAAAGAAGATAGAAAATTGTTGATAAAAGTGGAATTCTTTTGGGTATCCTACTGACAGGGTATATTCAATATTGAGTTAAGGTAAGTTGGAAAATAGAGAATTTACTTTAAACAATTGTTGAGGAATTTGATAAGTTCTGAGGATATGTGAAGAATACTAGAAGGATCCGTTAGATGAACCTACGGGTTATTGATGAACATATATATTGTTTTGTAGTTGATTGTGTTGGATTGATTGGTTGCAGTTAGATGGTGGAAGCTAATGGTTGGTTATGTAAAGACTACACCCATGTATGTTGAGTCGGTTGGGCTTCAGGGAACTAACTACCCTTAGCTAGAAAAGAACCCAAGGTATGTGAAGCTAAAACTTCCTTCTCCATTATGGCACCACCCTATGTCACATATTTCTTTTGTACATGCCAATACAGCTTACATGAGATATAGAACTAAGATCTTCATTTTCTTTATGTTACATTCCCTTGTCTAACTGTCAAAGCTTATTAGTATTCATTTACACCTTTCAAGTCAAGTTCTCATAACATTTCGTATGACCATATGTGTTTTTACTTGAAATTCTTTGGAGTCACATGGTATATATGTCACTTATTATAAATAAAACAAATGGCCATAGTATATTCACACTTGTATACTTGATGACATAGCCAATACACTCATAAGATAAACTAAGATCTAGTGCTTGAATGGCTAAACGATCTTCTACTTAAATGGCTAAATGATCTTTATTGTAATTTACTTGTACAGGCCTTTAAGGCATTATGTGATAGTATCTACCATTAACGATGGAGGGTAGTCATAAGTTTTACTCGACACACCCGCACCTTAGTCTTGTTTATGAGCTATGGGTTGCTCATTTGTTAAAATTGTATAAAGTTGAGAAATTCGATAGCTTTTACAAATTGTGGGGTTTTATGAGAAAAAAAACACAACTTAAGAAATTCAATGTCTAAACAAAATTTCAACTTCAAAAGTCGTTAATTTCAAATCATGGAAACCATGTCCAAGCATGCCCTAAAAATCCAAAAAGCCACCTCAAATGTTTTCAATGTCCTTTTTCTTTATCTAACCTTATTGATGTTCACTGCAGATGAATGAGATGCTTAGAAGGATTTGTCGGCGCAACTTCTGCACTTGCTCTCCTCGGCCGTGGCTCTTTGTTGGGTTGGGAAATCCTGGGGATAAATACAGGGGAACGAGACATAATGTAACCTCTATTGCTGGACTAACATTACTTTCTCAGAAAGACTGCATAAAACCTGTTCTATTTTGGGTTCCATCTTACTCGAGTGGTCTTCATTAAGAGCTTTATCTTTTCTTTCCGCTATAGGTTGGTTTTGAAATGCTTGATGCATTCGCAAATTCACAAGGGATTCATATGGAGACAATACATTGTAAAGCTATGTTTGGAAAAGGTCTCTTTAGTTAAACATTGATTTCTGTTTTTTTAAGTGTTCCAAGTACATCTTCATATAAGATTGTTAATATATACCAATTCTCAGGTTTTGTCAATGGTATGCCAGTTCTCCTTGCAAAGCCACTGACTTACATGAATTTGAGTGGTGAATCCGTAAGCAATTAAATAAGTCTTACTTGTATCATAAATCTTTTCTTTTTCTGCTCATGACTGGTGCTGCTTGGATTCTATCTCAAATATGTGTCTGAATGAAAGCTGGTAGTCTAAGTGTATTCTGTCGCATAGTGACAGTGGGTTTACTTGTAAATTTTTATTTCGCTTGATCTAGCTGATTTTGTTTTTAATTAGTTTAGAGTAAACCCTTCTTTGAAATGGTGGTTATATTGATTGTTATCATCATCCAGCCATGTATAGTGTTTCCTTGTGTGGGTGGAATGGTGAACGGTGAAGCTGTAGATCTCTAGAATAGTTTTTACAGCTGGAAACTTCCAGTGCCAACTATTTGTCTCAGAGAAGTAAGATGCTAATCCTAATGTTTTCAATTCTTAGCTCATATTTCTCTCTGTTAACCTTAAATAATTTTGGAGTAGTTTTCTCTGTTAGTTTCAAGAACAGTTAACACATGCTGAAGTTTGTCGTTACTGGATGCAGTCGGTCTTTGACCACTGAACGTGGAATGCAAGTCCAACATTGACGTAATTGGTAGGGTTATTTTGTCAAAAGTTAACAAGAAACACTGAATAGGGAAAGTCAGATAAGTAGCTTTGTCTCGTGATTAACTAACCAAATTCTTGCCAAAAATGATTCTAATCTAATAAAAATGTTGTTCAGTTGTTCTCTGAATTGTTATATTATGTATGTTTCTTTGAAATTTTGATATAAGACTTTCTTTGCTTTGATTCTTGTAATTTTATCACTGAAACAATCTTAAAGAAGTTACCGAGTTATTTTTTTATGTAGTTAGGTAGTGAATTGCTGATCACTTTTATTCCAGGAACTAAGCAACCCAGATAGCAGTCTTGTGCTGCCAATAACAACAACAAACCCATTGAAATTCCACAAGTTGAGTGTGGGAAGGATAGAGTCTACGCAGTCCTTACTCCTACCTTGTGGAGGTAGAGAGTCTTCCAGAAAGCAGTGGAAAAATGATGTGACTCATGGACCTTAGTACTCATTGGATTAGCTTTTCCTATGGACTTAGCCACTTTGGGGGGCATGTTTTTGAATGGCAATATTTATTACATTTGTCTGACAATTGACTGTTTTTGTCAAGACTTGACTGTTCACAAGTTAAATGCAAATGCAAGCCTGGTCCGATTGTTTTTTCCAGATTTAGTTCCCTTGCAATCAGGTTAAGGGCATGTCCCAGCCGTTGCTTCCCCTAGTATGCAAAGCATGTTTATACTTAATAGACTCTCATCAGACAATTAAGTTCCTCTGCTTAATAAGTGAACTTTTTGAGAACTTCTATGAATAGAAAATAGCACATTACTTAGCTCAATTTATGTCATTCAAACTCCAGTTTACATGTGCAAATAAAAGATCAAATTCTTGTGACTCCCAGTAGATTTCTACTTGTTGGACGTTGATGTTTTCTGATGTTTTTAATGGGGAATGGAGATGTATCGTGCTTTTCATTGATGTTTAGTGTTATCAAGGTGAACAATATTTCTCTGATGCCCTCTCATTTCTCTATTTCCCCAGATTGGCCCACTTGCAGCATATTACAAGCTCCCTCTCAATCGTGTGGTCGTGGTACGATATACTAGCTATTCATATTTTTTAGGATCTAATTGGACATGTTGATCATGTTATGTTTATACTTTTCCACATGTCTTTTTCTCCAGTTTCATGATGACATGGATTTACCATGTGGAGTTCTTCGTCTTCACCCCAAGGGAGGTCATAACAGACATAACGGGTATGAATGGAATTCTTCTTTACATAAATCTACTTAAAAAAAAACCTTTAATTCAGTACCATGAAACCATCCATCTGTTCAATTTTGCAGTGAATTATCTATTTAGGTTCATAGCTGGAATTTTAATGAACTTAATAATGATATAATTGTATACCTAGCCAACATTTTTTTTTGACATAGCCAAAATACCTGAAACCCCTTCGGGGTGGACCAGTGGTTTGCGCTTGGGACTTCCAATATTGGAGGTCTCACGTTCGAAACCCCTTGCCAGCGAAAGCAAGGGGTTTGTCTTCTGGATCGAGCTCGTCGCACCGGGCTTGCTTAGTGCGGATTGCCTCTTGTATGTGGTTTGTGAGCTATTGCAAAGGAGAGCGGGTTTTACCCTGTGCGCACCCAAAGGGTAGTGGCTGCGGGTTTCCTTTGTCATAAAAAAAAAGAGGTCAGAACACCAGAAATAAAACCTACTCAAGTTATTCTTTCCACAATATGATTAGCATAATATTTTGTTAGGATGTCCATAACATGCGCCCGGACCACTTCTTGAGTTGTGCATAGAATTTCTCTGCCTCTGGAAATCTGTCTTGTTTGCTTTGCCAGGTTTTTCATGTTTTTGTTGGTAATTCCGTACCAGAAGATATCTCTGTCACTTTATGTATGGTGCAGTTTCGGTTGCTGTTAAACTTGATCCGGTTCTCTTTCTTTACAGGTTAAAGAGTGTGATGTATCATTTTCGTGGAAATGGAGAGTTTCCTCGGTTAAGGATAGGTTTGTCGAGAGTCTGAAATACCTAAATTTTCTCTTTTGGTGTTTTGAGTTTCACTATGAAAATTGAACATAGTTCTCTTGCTAGGTATTGGAAGACCTCCTGGTCAGATGGATCCCAAAGCATTCATGCTTCAAAAGTTCAATTTAACTGCAAGAGAACGAGTAAGTTCATAACTCATTGAGTTATTACATAAAATTGACTCCCTAATGTTCCTTTTCTTGTTTCTGTTCTACAAGCTTTTCTTGAATATCTTTTTGGTAATGTTATTAAAAAAATTATTCAAATATCATTACCAAGAAGGTAATGCAAAAGTTAAAATAAAAGGCATCGAGAAAATGGACATTTCAGGTTACACACATAAAGATTCTTGCAAGTTCACAAAAACCAACATAGCAAAAAACCTCTATCCAGAAACAGTAAATTGTAAATACGTTAAAACTTTACAGCAGCTATCATTTCCTTCTTCCCGTCAAATCATCTTCTATTTCTAACTAGCCATATTTACCATGCAATACATAACAGATTGTCTCCCAAATCTTCTTCATTCTCTTATTGATGCTCTTTGTCTATCATATTCTATAGTTTAGTGGCATTACCCAGTGAACTCCATAAATATTCAGATATATGTGAGGACCATAACTAGAATGCAAACAAATGCATATACATGTAACTAGAGGTGACAAAACTAGCCCAAGCCCATCAGTATTTTAATAGGTTGAGCAATTACTGATTTTTCTGATGGGCTGATTTAGACAACCCGTTTTAACCCGTAAACTAACTCAGCCCAAATGCGACCTGCAACATCTCCCAAAGCTTAAACCGGGAAACAAAAACTACAGTTCAGATGATTATATAATAATATTAACTTCGTCAAATGAATCAGGGGCACTGTGCCGACATGGCTGATTGTATATATCATTTTCTGCTCTTATCTTTCTTTGTCTCTGAGGTATGCAATTGTATGTTTATTGATTGATAACTCTAAAAAAGAAAGAACAAAAGTTGGATTAGGCTTGGGTTATACAACCCATTGTTTAGCCCATCATGATCCACTTAGTTTAGCCCAAGTTAACTGTGGGCAGTTTATTGATCTAAACCATCTTGACCCGCCCTAATCAGCCCAAACCGCCGATCTTCCACCCTTTATGAAATGCATATGTGTGAATTTAGTCAACAAAACTTATTATTGAGTAGATAAAACAGTGAAGACCATAGATATTTTTTTTAAAAAAAATGAAAAAGACCTTGGAGAATCTATTGAACAAACTGTTGTATTTCTCCAATTTAGAAGAACGCTCTTCTTCTAAATTTGGAAATTTGAGACACATTGTTTATTTGGATTCTCCATATCCTTCCAATAATTCCACCATCAATTTGGATAAATATATGTCTCTTTTATCTATGTAGTCATTGCAAAAAGAAATTTTGTTAGACATGTTGTAACATGTGCAGATTACACATTTTGTAGAATACAACCAATGAAAAAAATATTTTGGACCCAGTTAAAATTTCTCATAGACAATATCAAATGGAAATCAACATTGTTTTAGAAGTACCCATGCTCCAGACGTTGAAATCACGTTAGAACGAACAGATCTTTGCTTGATAAAACTAATATATTTGAGCATTGAAAGAACTCCAAATGTATCTGCTGTTTGTAGCTCTAAATCCACTTTGAGTTGAAGATTTATACATTTTACTGACAGATTGATGCTGCATTACTGGAGGGAGCACATGCATTGGAGCAAGTCTTATCCAAAGGCTTCTCCGAAAGTTCTAATTGTTTCAATACAACGCAGAAGTACAAGCACATACGATTGCAGACATTGCCAACGTGACGTCATGCATAAAGGTTTGTAGATCTTGCTGTTGCTGTGTCTTCTTTAGTTTCCATTGATTGTTTAAATAGAAATAATAAGAGTCTTCTGTGGCCATTTTAGCTAAACATAAGTGAATGAACATTTCATGACCCCCTCCCCTCTACCTTGTATAATGCGACTGTAGAGTATGCTTTTGATAGTCTTAAATTATTTCATCCCTGCAGATATATCCTTAAGAAGCTGGCAATTATCTTAATTGGTTAAGCTTTCACGTTGCTTTTGCTCCTTCGGAATTACTTGTACTTGGACAAAAAGAAACCAAGTAATCCTAGATGCTTATCAATCCATGATAAAGTGACGAAAGGAATATTTAGAACTGCATATCTCTAGTTGGTGTGATGTGATTTTGACATCACCCATAAAATCCACAATAGCAATTAGCATCACTTCCTTTGCGTGTGATTTCCTTTCTACTATTTTAGTTTTCATGTATAAGCTCTGTTCGTTGTAAGCTACTAAAACTTAATTAGCTCACTTGTGGGTGTTGAATTGGTGTGCGGCTGGACGTTCCATTGCCATCGCTGCATCCTATTACACGTTATATGCTTTTAAGAAGGGTGGATGTTGTGCAGGTTGAGCTAGGATCAAGTACTCACTTAAATTCTCGGAATACAGCTATGTGAAGTGCAGAAAAATTGCAGGACTTTTGAGAATTCTCCGGTTTCCTGTACAAAATTTGTGTATCACTTCTTATTCGACAACTGTAAGTTGGTGAAAAGGAGCTCCAGGAACCAAATGGGAGTAAAATTTTTGCGTAAGAACCATTTGTATTGTCTTTCCATAATTGTACATTGGCATTCATAATATATATCAGCCGTGAAAATGGTAAGGTTAACTTTATCATATGACTAGAGAATATGAAATTGACAACTCAAAATTACAGGACTATTATTAACATGTAATAATTCATGTGATATTTTGTTATTTAGTTGATTATTAAATATTGTAAACATTTTCTATTTTAGGGGTTTATATGTTGCTATGCATTTCTGTTTGTGTGTTGACAAATTTAGAACGTGAACGAATATGGAATTATTTTAAAGAGAGATTTGTCAAACTTCAAATAGTAAACTTATTTAAATACTTCCATGAAACACCCCGGCCCCACACAGATGTAACCAAAACTCCAATAATTTATTGAAGGGTCCTTCATTTTATACGTTGACAAAATAGAACATGAGCGAATCATGAAAGAAAAATTATCTTTAAAACATTTTCCCTTGAGCTGACCGAATATTGTATGCCTGCCTACTTCTAAATAAGGAAAAAAAAAGATTTATCCTTTGTTAACGTAAAGGATACCATATATTTTACCGTGATTTGCTTATGAAAGTAAAATATTGTAATATCGACATGAGTTAATGATTATTGATTGTTGACATGACTAAAACCTGTTAGTAACAACGACTTGAGATAGAGAAAATTCTCCGTGAAATTATAAACCTGTCAGCTGCCCATCTGTGGAAATAGCTCTTTTTCTTTTTAACATACATAATTGTTTATTTATTGGCAATTAAATTGGAAGAAACAACAGATGACCCAATCAGTAGCCTTTTATAGTGAACTACTAGACCCAATAGCTAATTTTAACTGTCAACAGCTAATTTCAGATATTTAATTTGCAGCATGTTTCAATTTTTTTTTAATGATTTCCCACCTGGTCAAATAGATTAAGGCACATGTGAATGAGATCCTCCTAGTTTAATAACTTAGTTCCTATTAGTTAAAAGATCAAGTAGTTGACCTTTGATCACGCAACAAATTGCCAAATGAGAGTTTAATCTTACAAATTATACAACTGATAAGAGAGTGTTCAAGATCATAAGTAAGTAGTAGTAGTAGTATTTAGTCAAAAAAACGTGAAGAACTAGTTTCTTTAGGTTGAGAGTCATAGGTTTAAATTCAACCAGAGTTATATGATACTTGCCAATGGAAGATGACAAATATTTCACAAAATTAGTGGAGGTGTGAAAGCTGATCCGAACACCATAATTATTAGAAAAAAGTTATAGTGAAGAGGGGTCCAGTAGGCAGCATATTCTCTCCAGTTGGATTAGCTCAACATCACCATCCTACAACCATTTCTTCTTTTATACTAAGCGACGACTTGCTTGTAAGTTAAAGTCTTCATAAAAGCAAAACATTTTTCTTGCTTTAATGGAATGATCAAAATTCCAATCTATTGAAGAAAAGTAGAAAACAAGTCAAAAAATAAAATAAAAATGGTTGCTGTATTCAACAAAGATCTTTTGAGTTGGTACCTCATTACCCTCAAGCTCAAAGAAACTGTTGATGCTGGTCTTCAAAATACTCCTACTACTCCTACTCCTACTCCCACCACCAGCAGATCCATTAGTTTTCCAGAATTTCCCCTGCAACAACAACAACACCGCCTGTTGCAAAAAGAAGAGTATCATCCAGCAGATTCTCTGAAAATTACCATTGAGGAAAATGTTCATACTGTAGAAGAAGGTCCAAAATCACCAGAATCCGAATGGGTAATTAGCATTAAGGACAAATTAGAGCAAGCTAAGCAAGATAATGATGCTGGATCATGGGCGAAACTTTCTATTTACAGAGTCCCTTTAAGCCTAAGAAGAGATGATGATAAAGCTTATATACCTCAAATCGTCTCTTTAGGTCCTTATCACCATGGCAAAAAGCGCCTCCGGAATATGGATCGCCATAAATGGCGAGCCGTTCTCCAAATCCTTAAGCGGACAGATCAGGAAATTAAAATGTATATTGATGCGGTGAGAGAGCTCGAAGAGAAAGCACGCGCCTGTTATGAAGGGACAATTGCAATGAACAGTAATGAGTTTGTTGAAATGATGGTTCTGGATAGTTGCTTTGTTCTCGAACTGTTTCGTGGTGTTGCTGGTGGATTCCAGCATCTTGGTTATGCGAGGAACGACCCGGTTTTCGCAATGAGGGGGTCGATGCATTCGATTCAGAGAGATATGATCATGATTGAGAATCAAATTCCATTATTTATCCTTGATCGATTGTATGGGATTCAATCTGATATGCCTCATGAGAAAGGTATTGTAGCTAGGTTAGCTCTGAGGTTTTTTGATCCGTTGATGCCAACTGATGAGCCATTGACGAAGAGTGACTTGACCAAATTGGAGTCATCAATGGGACGTTCTGCTTCTTTTGATCCATTAGCAGACCTTGCTGGACTTCATTGCCTCGATGTTTTCAGGTACAGTCAGAATGGGTTAAATCAATAAACGACTCATGACTCAACCCCTTCCCAGTTTGTTTGAACTGTTTGATTAAAAAAGTGAGCTAATTTTGTCATTTCTATTTTCAGGAGGAGCCTTTTGCAGACAGGGCCTAAGCCAACACCTAGGACGTGGATCAAGCGTTGGTCACATTCGAGTCGGGTGGCAGACAAACGCAGGCAGCAAATGATTCATAGTGTTTCAGAGCTGAAAGAAGCTGGGGTTAAGTTCAAGAAAAGGAAAACTGATAGGTTCTGGGATGTAAAATTTAAGAAAGGAATCCTCAAAATGCCTCGGCTTTTAATTCATGATGGTACAAAGTCACTTTTCCTCAACCTGATTGCTTTTGAGCAGTGTCACCTTGACTGCACCAATGACATAACTTCATACGTAATTTTCTTGGACAACTTGATCGATTCACCAGAGGATGTTAAGTACCTCCATTACTGTGGAATAATTGAGCATTGGCTTGGCAATGATGCTGAAGTTGCTGACCTTTTCAACCGGCTTTGTCAAGAGGTTGTTTTCGACGTCAATGACAGCTACCTTTCACAGTTATCCGAGCAAATTAACCGGTACTATGACCACAGGTGGAATGCTTGGCGTGCTACTTTAAGGCATAAGTATTTCAACAACCCATGGGCAATTATCTCTTTTGCTGCTGCTGTTATTTTGATACTCTTCACCTTTGCACAAACGTTTTATGGAGTTTATGGCTATTACAGACCACCTCATTAGTTCTCACTCAATTCTCCAGATTCATAAACAATAGTCAATATACATTGTGCCAATATGCTGAGCACAACCGCCTAGCTACACCGGCATTTGAATTACTATTTCCTTTTTTGGTGCGCTTTTACATCGACTGGTCGATGGGAACGGAAGTCAGGAGAGTTCTTTTTTTTTCTCATTTTTTTTAATGGCATGGTCTTCGGTAGACCGTGCTCAATATACAAGTTGTGAAGAATGCTCAAATGATATGTCAAACTGAATTTTTCAAAGAACTTACATGTGGAACATTGTTGATCTCAATAATTACTGTTTACTAACTACATTCAACTCTTTATTTGCTCCACAGAGAGGCTTCTGGCATAGTAGAAGCCAGCAGATTACTAACAAGAGCACTGGCAAGCTTCTTTACATAGGTAGAAACCAAGTAAAGGTACTATAATACATCAGGGTATTTATAAAGCATAATTTTCTGAAAGCTGTGCAAATGGAAAACAAAGATATCATTACACTATAAAATATGCCCCGAGACAAAATGTAACCATAACGTTGATACTGATTCTCCTGAGAGTTTCTTCCAGTCCCAGTAGCATCCTAGAAATCTATGGCTATTGAAGCAGAAAAGAAAAGACAATTAACAGCAGCATGATGTAAATTTCATAGAGTAAGCAGCTGCTGCAGACGTTTCAGTCTACGGGAGAAGATCTTCACTCTCTGATGAAGCTGCTTTCTTTCCATCATACCGCTGAAAGGGAGAAGGAAATTGGGATGAAACACAATTCTTAGTCACAAAGGATGATCATGTAAACAAAGAAGTAAAGAGAAATTTACTTAAATATGCAAGGTTTAAAATTACCTGCTTCCCAAAAGAGAATGGCAGATATTTATATTTCAACATGTGTCGTATTTGTCTTCTCATTGTAAGTGTGAACAGCACAACCCAATAGAAAACGAGAATCGGCCAAAATACAGGCACATCCAATACACTGAAAAATGTTAACACAAATGCAATGCAGAACGCCTTGGTAATTGAGTACCTTCACACAGAAACACAGAAAAAATCAATGCCCTAAATGGTTGAGAAATTAGACACACTGTTTATATAGGTTTTGGCACATGGGAATTAATTTAGACATAGATGACAAAGGGCAGCGCTAACCGATAAAATATCGTGACTCAAATTAGAACATGCCAGTGACAGAAAAATAAACACAAAAGCAAACAAGGGACTGATCTATTGATTTTTTGGGTGGCAAGCAAACACTATAATGCCCATCGAAACATAAGAGATATACACGGTATTTCTCTAGGAGCATCCTCTTTGGGGGCCTACACCAACAACAAAAGTCAGTCAAGACAGTACAAATCATTCGGTAACTCCAGTCAAAAGAGTGTGCGACAATATCCTCTCCATTTTTAGCCAATAAACACGAATGCTAAATATGCAACATCACTATCAAGAGGCATGCATATTAAGAATGCTAAATATGTGACATCCCTATCAAGAGGCATGCACCTGCATACATGCCTGTGTCTACCATAATAGTATCTAATACTTCAGCAGCAGCACCATTTTGGTCTTATATTTTTATGAAGCCCTGTGACATCGTCGTTTAGTTTGAACCTTATCATACTATCACCACTCTACCAGCAGAATGTTTAACTATCTATGAAAGGAAGTGTAAATTGCACTTAGAAAGTATTATACTTCTGGAGTTCAATCAATTGCTCCAATGGTTAGCTAGAAATTTCAACCAGCTGTCAGAGGAAGCATTTTCTACTACTGACGGTGCTACCAAGAGGACAAACACCCATTGAGTTAAGAACAGAAGGGACATCAGCTTGGATCATGCATGCAAGGTATCCATACTTCGTTAACTCCTACATGAACATCATGGCCCAAACACAAGAAATACGTGATGATCAAGTCAATTATAGAAATGTGAGTTTAATTAGTCGATTTATCAGTGAACAGGGAAATATATTATCAAGACGAATGAATAAATTGACATTTGCAAATTGTCGGGTTTATACATAAAAATAGAGAGATTCTTAAATAGACAAGACCATGGTTCCCAAACATAATCACTGACTATATGAATATCAAAGCAATGCTCGGTTGCTCATTTTTCTGCTGACCTTTTCCCTTTTACAATGATGCTTCACTACATATGTATTAATTAATTCATACATGCATAAGGTATAACATATATCTTTTTTCTCGTGTGTGTGCGTGTGCTTGCAGGGGGTGGGGGCAGTTCTAATTTGCTTAAAATTCTGCACTTAGACACACACACTAATGTGTTGAAGAGAGAGACAGAGATGGAAAGGATCAGCTTTTACTGGCTCCAACTTCAGTTGTCTTGATAATGAATCTTAAGACAAGATTTTAACTGCTTTCGTGACCTAAGGCAAAAGTGGTGTATTTCTCTATTTATAAAATGTTACCTTATCCAAAAGAATATCTGTCACACTTCATTGCAAACAATTTTTGTGAATCACAGTAGTCTTGCTGTCTATATCTAGCTCAAGATACATAATAGCCATTGGCAGTTGGAAAGAACCATGTTTCGAACTAAAACTTACTATAGAGCACTGAGCAGGATCAGAGGAAATTGGCAATCTCACGTACAACATCAAATCTTTCACTAACAAAAATGCATTCACCAAAATCAACATCTGCAGTACTAGACTAAAAATCAATTTTTTTTAACCCAATGATCAAAATCTGCTGTCTCTAAACAGCACATGTTAACCATCAAAAGTCTCAACCTCACTTTACTAGCTAAGCCTTTGCAGGTTTAACTTAAAGAAAAAAATCAATGGGAACCTTAAAGACTTCCTCCTAAATTAAAGATAAAGAGAAAAGGAATTTTGATTCAAACTTAAATATAACGAAGTACAATATTAAAAGATTTGCCGATTTACTGCTATTTTCAGTATAATCTACTTGAGAAGGAGTGCTAAATCATAATCAACCATTTCATTTCTCTCTGTGCTACAAATGGTATACATTTCCAAAACAAACAGAAGGTACAGCGCGCGGAAATTTAATTCAAGGGTTAGTCTCTGATCGGCCATATAGAACTTAGAAATTAAGACGACAAAAGCTGCAAAATATACGAAGCAAAGGAATTGGCACAAAACATACCAGAATTTGAATTCAGGAAGGCGACGAACGAAAGGGCGGAATTCGTCGGTTTCTCGGGTCGGCAGAGTCGGGCCATCAGATAAATCCTGTAACTCCGGGTCAACTTGCGGCGAGAGGAAACCGATGAGGAGGTTAAGAAGATAGATTCCCAGGGCATACGAGATAACGTAGAATCCTTCCACCAGATACACTCGCACGACATACAGGACAGCGATGAAGAAAAACGCAATCCAGCGGTATAGTAAATATGGCGTCGTTTTATCCAAAAAGTGCTGGAACGAGAGAGAAGCAGATGAAGTCCATTGGCAAAAAGCACCGGATGGAGTAACATCGCCGGCACCGGCGCCGGCCGTATTAATATCCATAGAGTTGGAGAGTGTTTCTTTCAAGTACGGCAGGGTTGTTTCAATTTTGAAAATACTTAACACTCACAGCTGAGTGAAAAAACACAAAAGATAATTATGATTAAGTAATAAATTAATTTTAAAAACACATAATACATACATGTTGGTCTCATATGTGGTAATTTTTAATTTTTAAAATTCATATGAGTTTATTTTAATTTGTAATTTTATTTAATATATTTTTAATTATTAATTATTTAATTCTCAAAATCTAAATTATACCTCATAAGCTGAGACAAAAAAAATATAAAGTTACGTACATATTATAGTGTAAAATTTTTATACCTATTATTTTTGTAATTACATAAATCTCATATTTTTAAGACATTTCGGATACATAATTAAGGATTCAGATACATTATTGTTGATACATTATGTATCAATTTGTTGCATTATCGAGGAAAACAAAACTTGAAAATTAAGATTTCATAGTATCCATTTTTTGCACTAATTAAGGGGAAAAAAGACAGAAATCAAATTAAGATTCCATAAATTACGTTATTTCACCCCAAATTATTGTCAATAATTCAAAATCCTATAGTTTAACAAACCAAAAAATTCAAAAATTGAATTTCTTCTTGTTCGTCTTTCTCTCTGTTTCATAATTTTTTTTAAAAAATAAGCGAGGTGAGTTATGAAGGATACAATGATAATTTCGCCAGAAGCTTGGCTATTTTCTGGCTTACTCAATAATGACGTGATCACCACAAAAATGTGTCGCATTTGAGATAAAGCCTAGCTCACCCCACCCCCCCAACCCCCAACTTTGTATCTTTTTGCTTAATACAAACACCATCTAGAGATAAGATTGGGTAATTTTTTTTTTTTAAAAAAAATATCCTTTTGATTATGATTCATGATTGTTGAAAATTTTGAGATTCAAAATTATTTCATTGAAGATTTTTTTAAATTTGATTCAAAATTACCAAAACTTTTGAGAAGATATATCATGAAGATCCTTTCAATTTTAATTGATAAGTGTTCTGTTCCTACTAGATACATTAAATAAGAAAGTGTTGCCTATAAGATTTTAAGTTTGAGAACTTTACATTATTAATTGGTAATTGTTATGTATCGGATACATTTAGTATAAATTTGAATTTATGTATCATAACTAAAAAATTAGTGCATGATACATTATTATTTATGTATCTTATTTTGTTTGAGATCATGAAGATCCTTTCAATTTAAATTGGCAAGTGTTGTATTTCTACTAGATACATTAAAAAAAG